GGCGGAAAAATGCACTGGGGAGGAAGCAGTCCTCTGAAGAATCCGCCAGGGCATCCTACAGAGCCTGATCCCTCTCTCCTGTTGATCCTGCAAATAAATCTACAAAAAAGACCCTAAGACTTGAGTCCATTCTGTCCGTGAGTGTCGGTGTGCTGGATCTGAGCAAAGGGGGGCCGGTGGCTGGAGCAAACAGGTAGGAGAACCTATTTCATACTCAGCGGCTCCTTCGGGGGTCAGCGCTACATAAGTTTACTAAAGCGTTTGATTTCTTTCCAGAACTAAATCACATGAGCAATGTGCGCACATTACATTCGAGATACCTGGATATTAAATGGTGTTTAAAAGCCAAAGCCAATGATGGGTTGTATTTATGCGCAAAAAGGTCATTTCCTTTCTAAATCTTTGTCCTCCAAAAATTTAAAGCTGAATTCTGGGAAAATTTAAAAACTACCCCAATAGTGGTTCTCCCCCACGCACTGCAAGGGTTGAATGCTCATTTTTGCCTAGCGTACCAGTAAAAAGAGCTTATACTAATCTTTATTCCTTGCTTACTTTCTACCTTCTTCTGATGCACACGGTGTGGGCTGGCCCTGGGCCTCTTCACACACAGCGCAGGATTGCTGGTTGACGTTAGAGTGCAACCAATGGGAGTGCCGAGGAAAAGCATCTTCAGGGCATGCAGGAGCAGGGGATAAGGTAAGTTAAACTTTTTCAATGTTCCTCTAGGCAATGAGCATTTAACCCCTGCAGGGTGAGGAGAACCCTACTGCAAGGGTAGGTTATACATTTTTCTAAAGTTAAGCATTGAAGGAGTTGTCTACCTTAAATGAAAGGTAAACTCCAGCTGGAATGCATGGAATTATGTTGGGCACTTAAAGAGAAACTGAACTCCCCGATAAAAATCACAGAAAAGGCTAATGGATTACCAAGGTTAACTCAGTAGCAGTTTGTTAGCATTCTTTGTAGCAGGTCTGTACTGCAGGTCCAACCTAGTATGCCTTGTTCCAGGCCATGTCTTATTCTCGTGGGGGCCATGTTGGACCAGAGACAGGGCTTTGGGTGGTCTTCTCTGCGCTATCCTCTGATGATTCATTGTTGTATTCCCGCGCCTGCAAGACTAGCATTTAGCAGTATCTCGGGGTGGGATATACACTCACACTATGACGATGGGACACTCTCACACACCAGGAAGTGTGCTCTTGCTTTGTAAGGCAAAAGGTACATTTTTCAGGCTGCTTTTTATCTTCAGTCAGGCTTACTAAATATTCCCTCTATGACAGAATATTGTTTAGTGCAACTACAGTCTAATTTTTCAAAAATTTTGGATAGAATGGAGAGGAATTATCAGATAATTTTTGCTGT